CGACACGTTATAAGTCGGGGTATAACTGTGTCCGGTCGCCGCACTCGGGAGGACGCAATCAAAGAGGCTCAGATGTTACAAACTGGTCAGGTTGGCCAGTCCGACAGTTCAAGACTTCACGCACTAGCCGTACCGGTTGGTCAGCAAGGGTATGGTCAGGCAGGCAGTTCTAGAGTCCCCGTCCCCGGACCATTACTGTACGATCATGATCAGCATAGATATTATTATGCTGGCCAGGCAGGCAGTTCGATACCTCGTGCACCAGCACCGCACGGTCAGCAGGTATATTATGCCAATGAGTCGGTAGCCCAGACGGAGCAGTCTTCTGACGAGTCCGCATCATATGACGACGCGGACGATCCTGGACTCCCACCGCATCATACACCTCTTGCTCAGCATACACCTCCTACACAGCATGCGTCTCCTGCACAGCCTGCGGTTGCTGCACAGCCTACGGCTCATGTTCGGCCTCCTATTCCACGACAGGCTGGTGGGCGTTTTGCTAGCACTGGATCGTCAGGTAAATAATTTAAGTATTTTTATATCGTTTGACATTAATATTTCGACTTAATCGCAACAAATTATCGGTACTGTTAGTGACATTGTGACACGGGTCGTGTGACCCGTGAAAAAATTGTCGATTTGGCTACAACTTGTTCACACGACTCGTGTGACAGTGAGACACGGGTCGTGTGACACTCACACGACTCGTGTCACTTATCACACGAGTCGTGTGAATCATGACAAAAACGCTGATTTAACTACGGCCTTCTCACACGACCCGTGTCACAAGGGCACACGAGTCGTGTGAGTCCACACGACTAGTGTCACTTATCACACGAGTCGTGTGAATCATAAGAAAATTGCTGATTTAACTACGGCCTTCTCACACGACCCGTGTCACACGGGCACACGAGTCGTGTGATCCCACACGACTCGTGTCATACTGTCACACGAGTCGTGTGACCTTACACGACCCGTGTCATTCTGTCGTGTGATGGGTCGTGTGGACCTGAGAGTATGCCGAAAATTGAATTCGTGTGCCTAGTCGACATTATTTCAATTATGTATTTATATATTTGTCTTTTCTATTCTAATGTAGGTACTAGCAAACGATCTAGGACTGATGGTGGGGCAGACTGGATCGTTAGAGGTCCAGTTCCCGGTGGGCCCATGGATGGGAGTGTGATCCCTAGCTTTCTAGGGCACGTAGCCTCTCGAATGTGGATTGGACAGATGCGAGACTTACTGAAATGCCAGAACAGGCAGCGAGCTGTAGAAAATCTGAAAGCTTGGCGAGGTGAAATGTCTGCCGAGGCACTTGATCTGATTAGACAGACCGGGCTGTCACATCTGGTTGATATGTCAAAAAATGTGCACGTTTTATATATTTAATAGTGTATTTTTATACACTTAATTAATTCGCACGTTTATATTTTTCGACTTATTTATTTCTTGGATGGATT